TGTAGTTGGTTACAACCGTGAGGATGAAAACTGTCGTCAATGATGAGAATATTATCCCGCCAAATACTTTGGACATAGCAGTCCCCCAAATTCTCATGGCGTTGTAACCTCGAAGATGCATTTCAACCCGGGGGCGAAAATAACTTGCTACTCTAAAAGCCGTATTGTTCACGTGGTCCAAGCAGTTTAGGGCTAACTCACTAATTATTACGCCGGAGAGGATCATGAAACACAAACTGCGGCAGATTTGAATCAATGGGATGATAAATATGGGGCGGAAAATGTAGTACGCTTGCATCAAGGATGTATTCCAATGGGTTGGCAGGCAATGTTTTATCAGTAAAAATACGGGGTCCAACCTAATGTCGAGAGCAAGGACGAATGAAATTGCTAACCAAGGAGGTGCTGTGTATGAGATTAGTAGAATGTGTCCAAATACTCCCAATTTGTCGTAAGATGAAGAATTGATACCTAAAATAAATGAAAGTTGCATTGATACATTTAGAGAAGTAGTTTTGAAACCCACTCCAATCAATCAGTAAGTCGTGTTTCTGTATGTAAATTAATCCAGAAACTTATTTGCACCTAAGATGTCGGAAAGTTGGCGATAAATTTGTATCCTAATTATTAAGTCTGATCCTATCACGCTTTTTGTGCTTGCATTCAGGAGAGACCGCTTGATATACATGACATTACGTTACGCACTCTTAGAAATCTGGTATAGTCAGGCACGTGTTGATTTCTCGGTATTAAAGTTGCTACCGCTTGATATTAAAATTAAACCGGTGTGTAAAACTGTCCTACCAAAATGGTAAAACTTTAGTACCGACCTACCTACCAGATACTACACAGTATTACTTATAAATACCACGTTAGTAGTTATATACGAATACCCTTTGGTATTATTTTAATACTGGAATTCTAAGCGTATACAACTAGCAATTTATGTTTAGATATATCCAAGTTTCTACGTATTGATTTTTGGGAACAAGTTCAAAATTGTGCTTAAAATTTTCTTTTAGATTTTCACTCCTTCGATGCCGCTTTGTACATAGTCTTACCATAAGAAGTGATAATAGAGCGTAGTTTTCGAACCGGTCACCATAAAATTAAAAGGTCAGTTGCGGTTTGTACATACCTTCAGTGCCTATCATTGGTATTGACCGTTTTTACTTGACGTCACTAGGTCAAAAGTGGGAGGAGCTTAGCTACACTCGCGCGGCAATAATTTTTCACTTTTTGCACGAGAAAATAATGCACAATGTTTGATGTAGTGTAGCAGTCCCAGTACAACTACGATCTGGTTGCCAAAACTATTAAAGTAATCCTAGAGACAGTGTCTATCTTTGGTATAAACGTTTCGGTGGTCCAAGGTCAAGAAGGTCTACAGTGATGTCCGAAGCTTTAAACACCAGAATAGCACAAAATCTCTATCTGACGCCGGAGACTTTGGCCACATAAATGACCTTTCAACTTTATCGATCAGATTAGCACTGAAAAGTGACCCTAAGATGAAGGTCTTTTAGATTAGAAAGCATCACATGCTACAGATTTCCCAAGCCTAAGCAATGGTAAAAAAATCGACCTCTCTCCCCAAACGGTACGGTGAAAAAACCAAAAAAACTAACCCGTTTACCGATGATAATTTCTTCACGACAGAAACATATTTCAACAAAAAAACTTACACGTTTTATGTCAAATATTCCTAGGGTTAGCTGATTAAAAAATAAAGGTCAAAATGTTATCTTATCAGGCTCCATTCATGGTTTTTGTGGGAATTGGCGGAATTGAGCAAAAACAGCCCAATTTCCTTGATTAAGGAGAGGAGATAGTTTAAAAAAATATTTGATAAACGTCCTGATGAAGAAGGAACACCCCCTCAACTAGTCCACATTGGGTGAAAAGCCATCGACCTTTGCGAAGGCGTCCACAGTAGCATTTACAGCGAAATTCGTGAAAAACTGGATTAAAATCCATATTTCTGACTTCATTTGCACTTTAGGTTTAACGTTGGAATTTTCGAACCGCAGACAACTTCACCACCAAATATTGATTAAAATTGAGGAAAAGGTCAGTTCTGAGCCCCATATAAGTGTCGGGATCAAAAAAAATTTCTGACCCGGGAATGATACAGTTTGTCAATTAATTTCGTACGTATTTTTGATGGAGCTTTCTCTTTCGTGACCAATTTTTCATGGTCACAGGAGGAATATATTTTCAAGTTTAATACATGTTTTCTACTTGAAATTTAACTGGCTTTTCAATGGAATAAGAATAAATTTGAAATTCCTTAAAACTAAGCTAATATAGTCGTCTACTCTACTATCACTTTTTAAGTTGAGACTATGTATAGTTTCCGTATCATTTTAATATTTAATTTCCAAGAGTGTACGTTCATTTACTAGTGAACTTACGGGGTTTGACTTGTTTGGGCGTCAGCTCGTTTCAAATAATTGCTGAAAAGTTCCAATTCCTCACCATAGACTGAAAACGACAATTCGGTGACCAATGTTAACATTTCCATGACTAAGAAAAATACGATTTCTAGAACTTCGAGGAAGGCCAGCTTGCTTAAACCAAACGAGTTAGCGGCCAGCAGTGTTACGCAGTTGATTGGTCCCAAACCCAAACTTGTTAAGGACATAAAATAAGAAATTAACTTTGTCGATTTTGGATGCGCAACAAATTTTTTTCTGCAAGCATCCCACTCAAATCGGTGCTGCCAGAAGTGGTCGTAGAATTTAGAAAATAAATCCAGCGACGACCACATTAACGGTGTCACAATCATTTTTATAAATTAAATGACGTTGTCTCGTTTTAAGGGAAAAGTTGCTCAAGATTTGGATAACGATTCGGTTCAATTGTTTAACATTTGGGTCGTCGGGTTCTAATGTGTCTGACGCAACTACATAGATTGTGGGTTCGTAAATAAATGTCTATGTACATTTCTATGCAAATACGGAATTACGGAATTGTAAACTACGTACGTCAGTGCATTTAAATTGGAAGCATTACATATGTATTAGCAAAGAAAGCAAAATGTATTGGTTACGAATTTCCGTATTATCTCGTTAGTTAAGTAGGCAATTTAATTAAAATGTCCGGTAAAACCGGCCTTGTTGAACTTCCTTTGGTGTCATTCTGTCCGTTCGCCAGTTTATCTGCCTGCAAGATAATTTTCTTTTTTAGCAACCTACGTGTTTATCCATTTGAAATTTTGCATACCTATGTATGTACATACATGCACACTTAATAATAAGTACAGATAATTATTCTATACGTACCATCAAGTATTTACGAATACATGTATTATATGTTGAATAAACAGTTACAAACGAAATGTATCAAGGGGGCGAAGCGACACGGTAATGGGAAGTCATAACCTTGTGTTTATTGTTTAAATTCCCGCTAAAAACTACGTCTAAGATGATCAAGCCAAAAAATCGATATTTTCGACTTTGACGTCGTCTACCAATACACGATCACGCAGTCATCGTGCGTCAAAACCAGGTCGATTTTTGAAATCCCCGCCCCAAGTTACGTCTAAAACGATCGAAACAAAAAATTCGACACGTTTGATCGTTGGTGTCATCGCCATGGCGCCATGATTTTATGACCTAGCACGCCCATTTTCAAAATCATCCGTACTTCTAAAATTATAAACACGTTGGCGAAAACTGCATGTCGAAATTCAAATCCGTTCTAAAGTTATCGTGGGTACGGACTGACAGACAGACACTTCTATAAAGGGATTTCGCTTCGAAAATAATGGGGTTTGAAAACCAACTGAAATTTACCCAAGGTTTATTTAGTAAAAGTGAGGGTGACATGTACAAGAAAATGTGCACAACGGTAGGATAAATTTTACCAAATTGTTGTGCCACCCTCCACTTTAGGATAAATTTCAGCTACATACATAGATATTTTTATTTAGAGTGTAATATTGAATTTTTCATCACCGAGGTTATCACAATTCTACGTAATATAATCAGCATACTAAAACGTTTATGTGGTTAAAATCGGTCAAAGCATCATTTACATGGTTGAGAAATATCGTAAATATTTTAGTTTAATCGTCAGTCTTCGTAATAAACTTTCTCATAACCTTAATCTGCTTACATATGTAGCTGCCTAGACTATTAGAAACCTCGTATTAAAATAATACCAACGGGTACTCATATATGAATGAGTCTACAAAGAAATTGCAATTGATAAGTAAATCCCTGTAGTAATTAAGTAAGTAATAGCTCGGTATTCAAGTTTTATCATACCGATAGCAAATTTTTACGGATCGGGGTAATTTTAATACCAACTGGTAGCAACTTTAATACCGAAAAATCAATACCTTCTTGTCTACTATATACCAGTTTTCTAGCAGTGTCACGATGCATAAAAATGATTGCGTAATATCTGGCAATTGTGCTTTACCAGGTGCATATCTACATGTGTACCTAAATATTTATATGACTACTTACTTACAATGCACATGTCAGACAAGTGTCTCACGGATCTTCTTGAAACCAACACTAAAAAATCAAGCAACGACACACAAACAAAAGTTGCCGTCGTGACATTTGAGCACTTCTGCAGAATTCACGGCGCTACGAATGTTTCAAGTTGGCAAAAACGCTAATTTTCACCAGCCGAAACTATAAATACAGAGTTCACCTCTGAATGAACGCTATGAATTTTGCAGAAGTGCTCAAGTGCCGCACCAACTGTTATTTGTGCTTAGTTCCTTGATTTCCAAGATCCGTGAGAAACATGTCTGACATGTGCATTGTTAGAACACTCGAGTTAATCTCTCATGCCTGGCATTTCTAGGTAATAATTCAATGGAATATTTGTAATATCTTAAAGCTTGTTATCTATCCATTGTATTTATTGTTCTTTTCAAGTAGAACTAATGAATAGCGAATCCAACATATGTGATGCTATCGGCGTTTGATGTAATAAACTCTGGCCAATAAAAGCACGGCAAATTGTCATGTTAATTCTATTCTGATTTTGAGGGAAGATCAGACAGAGGGTCGAGTTTTGCTCTGGGATTTAATTTCTTGAAACCCCAGAAATTTTCCCAACATGGTTTCCGGAACGGCCATTGCTCTTGCAGCAATCCTGGCAGGACTGGTTTACTTTATCTACTTGAGGAAGCCCAGGTGGAATAATGCTCCCCCAGGTGTGTGACAATAGTAAATTGTTTAATGTGTATTTGTTACAGTAAACTTTCCATAATTTACATAAACTCATCAAATTTTTGGATCTAGGACCTCGTGGATTACCGTTAATTGGAAACATGTTCCAAATGGTACGTAAAGTACCTAAATACCTTTTCATTATTCCTACGGATGCGCATCGTAACGTTATTAAAATCGTAACGAATTTCTCTTAATTATTTCCGTAGGACAAATTCCAGCACGTGACATATTGCAAGTGGGCGAAGGAATTCGGACCGTTGGTTAAAGTGAAATTTGTTTCGTTAAAGTAAATAAATTATGCATACTTGCATAAATAATTATTTACATGAGGATAATTATCTATACATAAAGTAAACCTTCACAACACATGCCAACAGGTGAAGCCATTTTGTAATACATATGACAAAATGAGTCTAATTTTGGTTGAGGCAATTCACGTCAGCCTTCGTAGATAAGTCCGTAACCACGTAAACTTACGAATTAACCAAAAACATGCGTTTTATTTTCGCCAGGTTTCGTAATTAAATATTGAGGGAATTAATAGTGTCGTAAAATAACGTATTTAGCAAATATTATTTGCCACGGTTACGAGATTTTCTAAGAGCTGTAGGATTTTGTCATCAAAAATCGCTTTACTAAGGTCACGATTTTTACGAAGCCTTACCCCTAGTTTTTTTCTTCTTCGTTAGTATCCTATAGTAGTTTACGATACTAACAAGAGAAGATTCCTGACTGCTACTCGCATCCGGGGTACCAACTATGTTTTTTGCAAGCTACATACATATATACTAAGACCCCAGATAAAGGATTCGTTCGTTCGGTGAGGTTAAACAAATTTATTTCAGCATGATAATTGTCTCGGACTGCAAAATGGTGAAGGAGATGTTTTCCGACTCCTCATTTTCTGGTAGGATGGATTTTACGCCCTTCGATTTAATCCAGGACGGGAAATTGCACGGAATCTTGAACACTGATGGCGAACATTGGGAGGAACTTCGGCGATTCACGTTGCGACAATTGCGCGATTTTGGCTTTGGCAAGGGCACGATGGAGGATTCCATAATGTTGGAAGTCAACGAGCTTATCGACCTCCTTATCGAACAGGGCGAAAAACCTGTCGACAACGTCAAGCAGCGCGTCGTGCTGGCAGTAATAAACTCATTGTGGGCCATTTGCACGGGGATAAGGCACAAACAGGACGATAAAGAACTATTGGGCATAAACGAGAAAGTTAATAAGTGAGTGAAAATTCAAGTTTTGAAGGACAATTTTTGACCTTCAGTCACTTTACATAATCTCTGCTAAACGTGCGATATCTTAGATTATACTAAAAAGTAGTAACTATCTAATTGTTGTTTTTATTTTACTCTTAAAGGGCATATGATGCCATAGTTGAGGGTGGCAGTGCCGTCATGTTTATGACATGGCTAATCTATGCCTTCCCAAGGTGGACTGGATACGATAAAATAAAAGCAGCACTATCTGACATGGCCGATTACCTGCGAAAACCAGTTATGGATCATAAGAAGACGAGACAGGACGAATTTGAAAGGTAAGAAATGTATAGCTTAACGCGTCAATTAGTACGTAAATAATTGACTTGATACTAGAACTTTGCTAAAATGTTCGATTTTTATTAGAATCTTTTTTTACACAAACAATTTGCAGAGATTTTACCGATGCGTTTTTAAAAGAGATTGCAAAAACCACGGACCCGAATTCAGCATTTATGGGGAAATTAGGAGGTAAGCTTTGCATAATTAAAACATCATAACCAATAATCACGCCGCTTAAAATCTGGTGTAGTCAAGTAAATATTGATTCCTTAGTGTTAAAGTTGCTACCACTTTGTATTAAACTTATACCGGTTTGTGAAAATTTGCTACCGATAAGTAAAACTTTAATACCAAGCTTAATTGCTTAGAGGACAACCTTGTTTCCACTCTGGGCGATTTATACCTTGCGGGAACCGACACAATTGCAACCACGCTCTCCTGGATGATTCTGTATCTCAGCAAATTTCCGCAAATTCAGAAAAAATTTCAGCAAGAAATTGAATCCGTTACGGGAAATACCAGAAAAATTACAGTGTCAGACAGACCAAAGTGAGTTATGTATATCCAAATTTTCAGGGATTTTTTTTCATTTTTCATTATAAAATTTACACAGTTTACAAAGCCGACGTATGTAAGTTGTAAGTAACATTTTTGTAACCTTAGTCAAATCAAAAGAACGACTTTTTATTTTGTAAAAATATTTCACAAAACCTACGATTTTACACGTTACCAATGATACTATGCACGTGAATTGCTTCATACCACGAGAAAATTTCCGTATGAAAAAATTATCAAAAATCTTGAGTGAAATTTTGTCCTATTTTTCTAGCATGCCGTACACACAAGCCCTGATCGCAGAAACGTTACGTTTCTCATCCATCGTACCGCAAGGAGTGCAACACAGGGTCTTGAAGGATCAGACGTATCAGGGTTTTCTCATTCCGAAGGACACCGTCATCACGGCAAATTTATACTACATCCATTTCAACCCGAAAATCTGGAGGGATCCGGAGAACTTCAGACCCGACCGATTTTTGAGCCCGGATGGAAAATCGTTTAAGAGGCATGATTCGCTGATCCCATTCTCCACGGGGAGGAGGCAGTGTCTCGGAGAAAGTTTGGCGAGAGACAGCATTTTCCTATTTTCCACCAACATCGCGCAAAGATTCAATCTTGAGTTTGACAAGAATGGACCAGAAAATGGTTTCGAGTCCAAGTTATCCTTCCTATTGAAGCCAAAACCGTTCAATGTAATTTTTAGGGATAGATTGGCCATGTGACGATTTGTATCTAGTGGAGAATTAAATATTTGGGGTTAATTTATGTATGTATGATTACTAATAACATTACTATTAACAGATGACAATTAGTTCCCGAAAAATTGGTTCCCTGATGCATACCCGTTGTCATATTTACACTCTAAATAAAAATAGCTAAAATTTACCCAATTTTTACTCCATAAAATTGAGGATGACATATCCAATACAATTTACACAGCGGTTATATAAGTTTTACCTAACGTTGTGGCATCCTCTATTTTACTTCACCTTGTGTAAATTTCAATAATTTTTATTCAGAGTGTAATATGGAGTTTCGCATACTGAGTTTATCAGTATTCTAAATATGTAATATAATCAGCTTACTAAAACTTTTATGGGGTCGAAATCGGGCAAAGTATCATTTATTTATTTACATGGTTCAGAAATATCGTAAATTTTTTAGTTTGATCGTTAGTCTTCATAACAAACTTTCTCATAACTTTAATCTACTAACATATCGACATACATAGGAGTTCCTCCTTGGCATTCTCCAGTGCAACACGTATCTCTCTCTCGCTCTGCATCTGGATCTCCTTCCATCTGGGTCGCGGGTGTGCCAGGGCCAGTTAAGTGTGTCCTAAGGCCCCTACGCCACGTGAGCCTCGTCCACTCACACCCCCAACCTGCGTGCCTAGTGACACCCCCTGCCACACCCGTCCCAGCAACGACAAGCTGAGCCATCAGGCGAAGATGGATCTCGTCGGACCCTGTGCACTGGAGGATCTACGCCTTGGAGGACTCCCCCAGGTGAGACCTTTGAGTGTTATATTGGGGTGGTGAGCATGTGGGGGTGGTCGACTGAAGAGTGGGTGTGCGCGGTGCTGGTGGGGGCGGCTGGGGTAGGTCTACGGGGTTCCCATGACCTGGTCATGTGCTGCGGTGGGAGGGGTTAGTTTGTGGAGAGTTTCATGGCCCCTTTATGGGGTCACTTAGGCCGAACCCTGATGGGTCATTGGTTAGTTTGTGGTCCATGGACGCTCCGCTCCAGCCCAGAACCCGTCGTGTCCCCGCCAGCACGTCGCCTACTCATTTGGATGTCACCATTTTTCCCCATATGTAAATCGCCTATAATCTCTGTCACTCTTTGGTTGAGCCTGGGTTTTTCAGGTAGTCAGGGCCGAATGGTGATCTGGGCATCCTTCCCAGATCAGGTAGAGGTTTTCCAGACCGACCACCACAGTCTGGTTTTCCCTCTACTCCCCTGACTACTATCTCAATTATTATAATCTAAAAATTTGACTAACTATGTAATTATGACTTGCAAGAGCTACTGGCTATTTATGCAATAAAGATACATACATACATACATACATACATACATATCGACATACATAAGTAGATACATTTTATTTCCAAGTCCCAGGGTATTGATTTTATGCATTTACATAATTTAGCCCTTCACTGTAACAATAGCGTTCCAAGAAAACTTTTTGAGCAAAACCCTAGAAAAGTATTTAACCAAGTTGTTTCCAGTGATTCCAAAAATGTGGATGGTTTTTAAAACCTTCGTAGATCAGTTTCGAAATCGAAATCCACTCCCAGTTTTTATATCTGTTCTTTTCGAACAAGTATATTTTGTACCTATGACGAAAATTCAAAACATATTTGTCCATTTTTCATTTGCAGTATTTGTACTTCATACGTTTTACTGCTTTCTGCGCTTAATGTGGGTATGGAAAACTGGTCTTTGGGGTTCCAATGAAGACCAAAATTTCGAAATTATTCGAATTTACCTCCTCATATATTTTACCTTCCTCCCTCTAAGTTTCGCCGCCATGGGATTCGTCCTAGCTAAAAGGTTTCGGACCCTTATTCCTATCATGAATCGATTAAAAGCCCTCAAGAAAGTTGGAGACGGTAATACTTTCATATTTATTTACTAATGAAACATGCAAATATCTATGCATGTCGTTAATAGTTTGCGATTTTTGATTAAAAAATTGCAATTATTAATTAATGTCCTAAAATTCACAGTGATATATTTTTTTAAGTACATATTTACATCACGATAGTCTTGTGAGCTATTGTCCATGTCAAACAATCAAGCCAAAAAATAGGAATCATACGACACTTTTCTTCCCGTTGAATGGCCCGTATGAGGAAAAATATTAGGGGTCAAAGTTCACACGTCCGCAAATTTCACTCGTTTGTGGGCGAAAACCAGGGCAAAGTGCGAAACGAACTTCGAACTTTGATCCCCAATATGTTTCCTCATACGGGCCATTCAACGCGCAACGGGAAGATAAGAGTGATATGATTCCTATGTAATTTTTGGGTTGATTTTTCTGATATACATAACTCGTTAGACAATCTCGGGGTAGATGGCTTGAAAAAAGGTGTATTTGTTATAATTGTATGTAAAGTGGTGTTGGCAATATCTGTATCGTAGCTTACTTGTATACATACATATTTGGAAATGATTTAATTTCAGAAATCAGACCAAGTTCTTCTCCCACGATAGCGTCTCCTCCTAACTACAAGCTTTTGACACAAGCCATGAAGTTTTTTATCTGGCTGAGCAAATACCCTCTTCATGTGATTTTCATGACCACCGTATTTTTCCGCGTCGACCCACTGGACCTGCCGATAAGCAGTGCCATTTCCATGGTATCGTTGTCATTCATCTTATCGAATATTGTTTCATTTCTCCTTCGTGCCAGCTTGATAATAATTTTTATAAATGAATTGTTGAAATCGGTGAATGCTTTCTTTATCCTTGGTTTACTGGTGGTGTGTTCGGCTAGCGAAGTGCTCCATTCTTTGAACGGATTAACTTATAAGTCGTTAATGAGGTTAATCTGGAATGAGAGAAATTTACAAGCTCGTGAAATTAGGCTTTATCGACAGTTATCAATTTGGATGGGATTCACTAACGAAAATTTTTGTTATTTTGCCGTCCCGCCGTTACTATTCTTTGGAGTTTCGTTTATAATATTGGGGCTTTATGGGACGGTCCGGATGCGAGACCGTACATAAATCAATATGTTTTGTAATTTAACGAAGTTTTATATAGAAAATAAAAATATACATAAAATAATAAAAAAAGAGGTGATTCACGCGGGCATTGGTAACTTTGTAAAATCCGTAAATTTTATACAATAATCTTACGAGTCTCAGTCTAGCTTCTGAAGAGAGAACATGGTTCTCTGACATGAGTCTCATTCATTCAAATATCTCGTCTGTAAAATCGAGAAATTATTCCATTCAATCGAGTCGTCGTCTAATCTACATGCCTTCCTCAAATTGAACAAACTCGTCTGTAAAATCGAGTTATACATCAAAATCCAAAATAACGTTCAAATGAGAAAAGGTGTAAATAATTTTCCGCAAACACCCACATCTTCTAGTAGTAAAAGATCTAGATGTAATGACCAATTAAACTCTTCGTTCGAATCCTCACCTTCGCCACAACCAAAAATAACCAAAAAGCCTAAAGTTATTCAACCCACAACCAACATGGGCGACAGTGACCTAAAAGATTACATTCTAAAAGTGGTCACAGACAGTGAAAATAAAGTTATAACCCGACTACAAAATTTGGAAAAGCTAACAAGTCCGCTGAAAGAAAATATTAACCAACTGAAAATAAGGATCGATAAATTACAGACAGCAGATCGACACAAAAATGTGGTTATTAACGGAATAGTGGAAACCGGCGGTGAGAAATGGTCAGATCGTGAAAAACATGTTAAAGAGCTAGCAAAAAAACTGGGACTCGCACAAATCGATTATGATTGTTGCTACCGAATGGGTACTTTTAACCCAGATATGGCCCGACCTCGACCCCTTTTGCTTAAGATGGTGAGACAACGCGACGCAGCACAAATCCTGTCCCTTCGCATGAAACTGAGCGGAACCAATATTTTTATTGATGAAGATCTGGCACCCGAGGAAAGAAAGATGCGTTCCCAACTGAGAGAATTTGCGAAAAACATGAAGAAAGAAAAACCGGACCTGCTGTTCCGATGTTACAAGAAACGGGTGAAAATTACAACGGAAGGAGCTACAACCTGGTACACAATAAATGACTCTAATCAAATTGTGGAGGATGGAAAACAAATGACGTGACGATACGGCCGGCCTCTACAATTAACACAACAATCAAGGATCAGTAACTTTAATATAATTTCCTGGAATATAGAAGGTATAAGGTCTAAAAATATCTTATTTTATAATGAATTAATCGAGTTTAACCCAACGATATTCTTCCTTTGTGAAACATGGCACGTTGATGACTATATATTAAACAGTAAAATTACAGATAGATATACAATTTTTGATATGAAAGCTGTGAAATCAAAAATCAAAGGAAGAGCATCGATGGGTTACTACATTGGTATAAAAAATAGCATAGTTAATTTTAGTAAAGTTGTATGAAGAGTGAATATAGCGTTATACAGTTAAACGATGATTTTAGGAAAGTAATCATTATTTTTAGCTATTTACCACCTAATAGTAACATCGAAATAGAAGAGATATTTCAGGCAGTAGATTCAGCACAGATTTCTTGCATATACATGGGTGATTTTAATTCGAGAACAGGAAATCATACAAGTAAATCCAAGGACAAAGTCACTAATTTACGTGGCACCAAGCTTATTAAAATAATACAGGAAAATAATCTTAGTTTGCTGAATGGTAACGGAGAGCATGGTACAGACGGTGACTTCACCTTTGTTAATAAGAATGGTTCAAGCGTTGTAGATTTGTGTATCACCTCTCAATCAATAACAGATAAGAAAGAATTCAAGGTTTTGTCCAGCGAGCAGTCTTGTCATTTCCCTATCATGCTAAAATTAAATGCAGTACCACATTTTGAGACTCTCACAAAAATAGTCAGGGTAGAATGGGATGTACATAAAATCGGACAATTTCAAGACAATTTCGATAACATCCTGGAAAACTGCGAGAGTAGTAATATCACAATTGATAAATTTCAACAGGGCATGCTTAAAGGAATAGATTCATGTGAAATGTTGAAGAGAAAAATATTAGGAGTAAAAAATATAACGTATGGACCAAGATGGTTCGATAAAAAATGCTTGTTAGAGAAGAAGCTTTTCAATAGTAGTCTTCGTAATTTTCGTAAAGCTGGGAATGAATTAGAAAAAGACCAATTAAAATTGATTTTCTTACAGAAGAAGAGAACTTATATCAATCTTAAGAAGGCGAAGAAATTAAAATTTTTCAATGCAATTCAAAGTTCACTTTGTAACGCTAAAAACTCGTCGGACTTTTGGAAAGCGATTAATTACTATAGGTCAAAGCGGAACTGTAATGGTAATTACGACAATGATCAAACAATTACTCCTGTAGCATTTCATGACCATTTTTCTAAAATTTTGACACAAATGAACAAAAGGACACACTTCCAAATGACGAACTCAGTATAATTAATGACGATACGGACGGAGCTTTCACATCTGCAGAACTAAATATTGTTATCAAGAAATTAAGTACTGGAAAAGCGCCCGGGCCGGATAGTATCCCAAATGAAGCATGGAAGGGACTTAATGACATGCAAAGACTTGATATTACTAGATAGCATAAACTTATTATGGGAGAGTCAACAAATCCCAGATGGATGGGCGGATATTATTATCTCACCCATATACAAAAAAGGCGATAAACTTGATCCAAAAAATTATCGACCTATTTCCCTAATAAACACCGGTTTAAAATTGTATACTATGCTTTTGACAAATCGTTTAAATGAGTGGTGTGAGAAACATGAAAAAATATCACAATTTCAGGCTGCATACAGAAAGGGAATGGGTTGTGAAGATCATATTTTCATGTTAAACTCAATCTTGCAACATATTATTAGAAATAAAAGGGGAAAGGTATATGCATTACTGGTGGACCTCAGTTCAGCTTTCGACCGAGTCAAGCATGATCAGCTCTGGAAAAAGTTAAAATTAGCAGGAATTAGTGACAAAATGCTTTTGTCAAGATGCGTACGCGCCACGGAGAAAGCAATTTCTTTCCCTTTAAAAAAGCTGTACTACAAGGAGAAACGCTCAGTCCAAAATTGTATACTTTGCTTACAAATGACCTGTTTGACCTCATGCATAATAATATAGAGCTGTCTATTTTAAGAATTGGAACTGCTGAAATTCATTTGCTATGCTATGCGGACGATATCATTTTGTTAGCAACAAACGCCATTCACTTGCAAGAAAAAATAAATATTTTGAGAGATTATTTAATAGGAAATGATATGCAAATTAATCTCTCAAAAACTAATTTCATGATTTTTAGAAATGGCAAGCCTAAGAGATTAGAACCAATCATTTTT